TAACTTTAGGTTAAAATTTGACAGATGGAAAGTTATCGATTAACCCTGCTATCCGAGCGTGGTTATTTCTGACAGACAAGAAGTTAAATGTTGACAACCGTGGCTGTGTTCTTCTCGGAAACCGGTCGATCGACAGCACAGGGATTTTCGAACATCATGAATAACTTTCGAAATGTCACTTTTAACCACGAGTTAAATTTAACTCGGCAAATGGTTCACAGCCTATATTTGTTTTGATTCGCTATGAAAATTTGACAGATAAAATGAGGGGTTCGTTGATTTGCCTATGATTCGAGGGGTGCATCGATTAGCTTGGGTCCGAAGATAGTACCAGAGCTGAGCCAAAAAGTTGAGCTCGTTTCTTCGGAACCTTCTGGTCTTAGAGTTACCTCTATGCTACTACTAGGCTTCAAAAAGAAAGCTCTGAAGTGTTATGCAGGTGTTCCACTAAGGAAGATTATAATATGTATTAATGAAAATATTATAAAACCTTTAATCCTTCAATTGGAAACCACTGGAAGTTAATTCTGTTCTTATGGAGAAAGCTTATTGGAAAGCGGTGGATAAGGTATTTTTTGTGTTGTACTTCTTGACTGAAGTTTTAAGAGCAATTGCATTTACATATTTATTGCATTGTATAATGAACAAGAAACTGAGGCTCTGTAAAGTTCATTCGATAGAACCTGATCAAATAAAGTAATTAACAAAAGGCAGCATTAGTTCAAACTATAAAATATGTAATACTCGAAACGAAAATCAATTATTTAATATCATGTGTTCACTAATACATTTAGTCTAGTCTAGTCTAGTCTACACATACACAGCCAGTACTTGAAAGAATCCTGGAAAATGATACATCTATCATTTTTCTTGTCATTATTAATGCTTACTGCACATCAAGGATGTGAAACAAACAATAAAGCGGCCAGGCCTACTGTGTAGCGTTTAGTTAATTTTTGTGGAAGTGAATGTTTACCATGTCTACTTAATAAGTATAGACAGTGGTTAACATTTAATCCACAGGTAATCAAAGAGCGGGGACATACCGTACCAACCGCTCCGTATGCAGGATTTGAAAAAAGGCTATATAAATCGTTGAGAGTGACAGAGCTAAGAAAGTTAATGTACACTCCTTGGTTGTCCGATCTCCTGGGATGGAACACAGGTATTTACCCCTTGTGTTCGAGCGTACAGTCCTCCCTCCGTACAAGCGTGGACGGCATCGCCAACCCACTGCCATCCCTCAATCGATCCAGCCGACCTCAGTCGAAGGACAACAGAGAGCGGTGTGCGGACGTAACCTATACGGAGGGAATGCTGTATTCGCCTAGGTTATAGCGCCCTTGCTCGCTACCATTTTCTTCTAGCGGTTGGGACCTGAGCACTAACTCTTGTCCTAGCCCTATATGGCATATGGTTATAGCGCCATTACTCGCTTTCTGAAAAGAGAAGAAGGGAAGGGAAGGAGAGGAAAAGGACTTGGGAAAAGGAAATGCGGAATTCCTTTCCTCGTTAGTATTTGTATCGTCAACTTTTATGAAAACTATATAAATCATTTTTCCTTGGTCAGAGGTATTATTACGACATTTGAATAAGATTGTCTTATCATTTGTTATTCAAAATTTAATGTTATAATGATCAACATAGCTTTGGATTATCTAATATAAATCGGTAACACTGTCCTGCAACCGATGATTTTTCTAATCCGAAAACTAAAAGTTACGAAAAAGCACTGATGCCTTCATTAAGTTCCACTTTCACGTGACGTTCAATGGTTAAACAAGTAAACAAGTTATTAAAATGAAATCACGTTCCCGAAAGCAGTCAACAATGTATCTTAAACCGGATCAAGCGTGCGCAGGCATGGAAAATCATTTGCATTCATTTTGTGCATTCACTCACATTCACTTGCCCCTAACCCTTTTCATCAAAAGATTTCCGCAAAATGGTCTAGGAAACTTTTGTAGGCTTTGTTATTAGCTACAACTTTTGTTAACAACTCAAATCCGTATCTCCCATGCATCACGAACCAGAGTGAACAGAAGCCAGTACTGTTTTTCAGTGAATGTATTTTACATTCACTGAAAAACAGTAACAAGTTCTGCCCGCTCTAATTCGTGATGCATAAGAGATACAGATTTGAGTTATGGGCAAAAGTTGTAGCTAATAAAAAAACCTACTAAAACTCTGAACAACATTTTGCGGAATGCTGATGATGAAAAAAGTTAGAGGCAAATGAATGTAAATGAATGCATGAAATGAATGTAAATGATTTTCCATGCCTGAGCGTGCGCCCTATTTTTCTAAACATTCCGACGCGTTCCGCCCAATATCTATCAAATATCATGTGTTCACTAATACATTTTTGCCAAAACATCAGCCTTATAAGACAAACTACATAGGTTATATAAGAATGCATAAAAGGTATGTGTGACCGCTTATACATTTCATTTGACACATGGTCTTCATTAAATTTTTGCAAGGCTTATTAGTTGACTTATACATTTTATGAATAATCAGCAATAGAAATTTGCCAAAAGGTATAAGAAGATTTCTATATGTGTAGAGACAGGTGTGACATATGTGACATATGTGAAAGTAATGTATTCTCAAAAATTCTTTCCTAATTCTCACTCTATCCTAATGTTGTGCATATGTTCCTAAGCGGACCTACACACAAAATCACGGCCTCCCTGTTCGGTAATTTTTTACTGGGTTTTTGAACAGCTGAAAAAGTCAGTAAACTTAAAAAAATTGTAAAAAATTGTATAAAAGTGATTTTTTCTTGAAATTTATACAGACTGTGTTCTTATTACATTTATTTGATGATAAAAATAAAATATGTTAAAATTGTTCGTTGCATTACGTGTGACCGTTATTTTCAGTTTACTGACTTTTTCAGCTGTTTGAAAACCCAGTAAAAAATTACTGACCCCAGTGAAATAATCTCTGTGTGTAAGTGTTTTAGTAAACCCTTTTGCCCTGAGATTTAGAATGCATATATACAAGAAAGATATATTCTAGTTAAGTTTTGATAAATATTCCTACAGAGCTTTTTGACGTTTAATCGGCGCACACTAATGCAGCATTTAAATTGAAGGAGTGCGAGCAAGAGGGAAACAGATTAGTGGGAAAGCAAACCATCCATTTATCCCTGTGTGCTAGATAGCGTCAAAAAAGTTTACAGATCTATTTTTGGGGTCAACGCCCATGTCCAATGGGAAGGAACAATTAAATTACTATTGATTTTAAACAAAAATTGTTTGGCAGATTCGATAATTTCTAACTGTATGGAAAACCTTTTGTATTAACACATTTGCACATCTCAAAACAACGAAAAACATTATAGAAAGGAAAGGGTTAACCACCAAGTCGGGGCTGACCTCATCTTTGATTCTGCATGACTTTTTAATTTCAAAACTTTGTCGTTAGTGTCATGCAATTTTTTTTATTGCAGGAAACTTGTTGCAAAATTATGCAAAACGTTTAATGTCCAGATTAGTAATGCAAGTCCCGTAGACTACCTACATATAAAAGTCCAAAGGTTATATTCAAAGGATTCCCTGAACAAATTTAGAGAACGTACACGAAACGAAAATCAATTATTTTATCCATGTTTTTCACTTATACATTTTTGCCAAAACATCAGCCTTGTACATTCCATAAGACAAACCACATAGGCCCTATAAGAATGCATAAAAGATATGTGTGACCGCTTATACATTTCATATGACACATAATCTTCATTAACTTTTTGCAAGGCGTCTGCTTATTAGTTGACTTATACATTTTATGAATAATCAGCAATAGAAATTTGCCCTCGAATTAGCCAAAATGTATAAGGAAATTTCTATCCTAGTACTTTAATCCAGATAGTTTTTCTCTTAAGACCATGCACCCACTACTGGTGCGGCGGTAGTATGGTATGTAGTATTGTACAACAAATATCATGCTGAAGTCGTGTGGCGTGAAAATGAGGATGATATTGGATGCCAGATTGATCACTGATAAAATTTCAAAGATTGTTTTTCTGTGTCCCACACATGATTTTTTGCAATGTGATCAACAAATGATATCTATGTGTCGGACACATACTTAATATGTGTACACATAAAAGCCATGTGTAACCACACATACTATTCATTTGACTCATAAATTTCATGTGTGCTTCTGGGTGGATTCTGTTTATGTGTGGTCACATGAAAATCATGTGGAATTTTACATGAAAATTCGTCAATAAAAATGTGTGGAATTCTATTAGTGTAGGAAATGCAACTAACATTCAATGTAATACATTTTTGGTTTGCGTTCGTATATAAATTAAGTTTACCCAAAATATGGGTAAATTTGCATCAAAACAATTCATACATGGTACATATTAAAAAAAAAAACTGGGCTTAAAATTTACCTATATTTTGCTTTTTTCGCTGAGATAATGACTTATCCGAGTCAATTGAAATCAACCGAATATTAAATAAGGGTTAAGTTGATCCTTAACATAAAAGCGTAGATGCATACCTATAGGTGAAGGATAAGAGAAAGGAGATTGAATGCGCATGTTTAAATAACGTTGATCCAGATACCTATTGGATAAATTTGCATATCATCTAGTTATAATTATTGTCAATAATACTTATATTTCGATAAAGATGATGCTACCTATTTTAATTTTTATGTGATACTCATCATCACAGAATCCAACCTTGAATCGTAGACCAGGTCCATCAACAATATACTCGTTCCAAAAAGGGGGTCATGGTACCACTCATCCTGTATAGTCATCTTCTTCTTCTTTAGGTTCGCTCACCACCCGGAATGAACGCTCGGTGTGGTTAGTAATATCAGTAACAGTGTTACATGCAAACGAAAAAGAGATACAACCAGGATTAGTTTTTCAAAGTAATAGTCATCTGAATACCCAACTAACCATATCTCAGTGACTTAGTCTCACTCTGAACCTACATTAAAAGTTATTTTGTTATGGTTACTTTGGTACTCACATGAAATGTTGTGCAAGTTCTACAAGTTCAATAACGCCCAGCTATGGACAGCTCAATGTTAATACCATTTACTCTTTGAATCAGCGTACACCAACATGATAATCGTCTAAGAAACACCTAAGAATGTATAGAGATAAAGCTCAAAACACAGTTTTAACTTATGTTATAACATCATACTTTATAAATATCAAACTATCCAATATAGGACCCTCTTGTAAAAAAAAGAACCGTAGAGGGACAATTAAATGTATTGTAACCGTACAATAGAGTGTATTGTATTTACAATAAATCGTATTCTCCACAACTATAAAATTGCAATAGAATGTATTGTTTCTACAATAGAATTTATGGTAAATGGAGGAATACACAATAGAATAAGGGGGTCGTTATGTATCTTAACCATACGAAAAATCACTTTTCCCGAACAAACTTGAGCCATTTACCATTAATTGTATTGTTGTTCTAATGTTGAAAACTCTTACTATATGGGACGTATTAAACATCTATTGTAATAACAATCTGTTAAAATTTCGTGTACTATATACGCACAATAAGATCGATTGTTGCTTATAATTGTATTTTATTTTATGGTAATTGAATGGTTATTTTTTTCCGGGCTGCCACCACACGGCGTCTGCACGGTAATGTGGGCCATCAAAATACTTCATCGGTTGCGAAGTAAAGTGCTTCTCAAACTGAAGCGATACATTTCTCAATTTTTCAACGTTATCCTAACGTAAACTTAATATTATCACCCATATGCCCGTCCACGCCCGAAACTCGTCCACCACACAAAATCAAATAAAAATGTTTCTTTATCGCAAACACGTCCAGATATAAACGAGAATATGGGTGTATATCTCCACTGTAACCACTACGGGTAATCATCAAAAGTACTTGCATTTTACTCAGGCACTTTTGAGCAAACTGCAATCACTCTCTCATACTCGAAATGTACCACGACCAAATTGGCACAACGACGCCCTATACACTATCTTACCAAAGCGCAGAGGAAACGTAACTCAAAATATAGTAAATGTTTCTAAAACATCAGTAATCGTTACTAAGTAATTAATTTTTAAACTAAGTTGTGTTTCGGGCTTAATAAATTCAAGAGAAAATGTTCATTATGTCGATTCCATATGTCATTTGCACCGATCCGAGAAAATATAAAGTTTTGTTTTGATGTCACATATAATCTCATGGTAATAGGAATGTTAAACATATTAAGCAGGGTTTTAATCATACAAAGCAGATCGCTAGCTTTCATGCTAAAAAATACTGGTTTTTGAGTCAAAAGTTATTATATTGGCCCCCTGATGCTACTTAAGTCAATGTATTTACCAGGATATTTGGGAGAATTATCACTTACGTCTCCTTACGTGCAGCCCAGCCTCATTTTAGGACAACCGAAGTCATCAACGAACAGTTCTATTTATTCACTTTAATAATGAGAAAGCGAAACGAAACGTACACGTTTTACGGGTTGCTCTGCGTTGTTACTTAAGACTACAATAAAGAATTAAAAAAAAAAGTTACTTAAGACAAATGGCATCTCCATAGAAATCGGGTGACATAAGTAACATCGAACAATATTTTGATCGGAAGGTGATTACGTCAAACAGCAATTTGGTTGGCAAATAAATTTAAAAATGGGATGTGATCCTATATTTGGACAGTAAATAGTGTAATAGTAGGAGTATCGATTGACACTGATAGCTCTACTTTGTTTACCTTTGTTACTTTCGACGTAATGAAAATTTGTTTTTGACATATCCTTGATGGGGACGGGTCCGGTGCAGTGGTTAGCACTCATGCCTCTCACGCTAAAGACCACTGGGAGGATACATAAGCTGGTTCAACTTGAGCGTTCCATGCTTATTCGAAAAACTCAATAACAAAACGGCACCAAGCGCTCACAGGAAACAAAAAATAAATTTGTACCTACATCAACAACAACGGTCCGAAAGAATTTCATATCTGGAGGCCACTGGATGCCAAACGTCCCCAATCCTACACTAGCCACGTCGTAGAACGGGTAAAAGACAGAGAAAACAGTAGAAAATCAAAAATCAATTCTACGGAAAACAACCGGAGAAAAAAGATGCACTCAAGGGAAACTACGAAGCAAACTAAACTCGTTTTCTATCGTCAAAGATTGAAAGCTTCTTATGGGAATTTTCGAATGAGTGAAAGGATAGGATTTAGTCCGCCATGCTTCACGCACAGACTGACGTTTGCTTATGGGAATTTACCATAGGAGTAAAGAGTTGAAATCCCCAGATGGGTTTCTAGTAAAGAGTTACCTGAGTCATGCAGCCCGAGCATAATTCGACCCGAGTCATGCAGATCGATCATCATGGTCACGTCTAACGTTGGTCTAACGCTAACATTTTTCCTTCTGAGTAGTATCCAATCTACGAAGTATATCATAGCAACGCTAACGCGTTAGCTAACGCAAAATGGTGAGATGCCAACCTGGAAGGAGCGAAATACCTAGCTCTGGTGCTCACAAGTTTCTACTTCACGCCTCCCCGAGTCATACGATAACAAAAGACTGCCAGCTGAAACATGGACACAGCTGGGTGGCAAAGCCTGGGCAATGTTGCCATTTCGGCAATAACAAAGTGAAGAGGAGCCATGCGAACACTGGTGCGGTAGCCATAGTACGGTGATAGAGGAAATGCTTCACCAAACCCGGCTCAAAACAGCGTCTGTTCTCCATGTTAGGAGCGGCTGATCACCGTCCTTGTGCCAGCGTGGGACTCTAAACAGAGCTGTGCACGATGGTCCCCCGGCGAGACAGGGGGTTGCGGCAGGCCCAACAAGCCGCCCTGGAAAAAAATATAAAGTTGCAAATATCGAAGAAAGAAATACGGATCGGAACATTCGGCACAGACCTACGTGACGAAATAAGGACTACGATTGGAAACTCGAAACATGGAACTGCAAATCGCTCGGCTTCCCGGGCTGCGATAGGTTAATCTATGACGAACTTCAACCACGCAACTTCGAAGTCGTAGCACTACAGAAACTTTGCTCGCTGTATACAATTCCTAGACTGAACATGTCTTTAATGCGGTATATTCTTTTATGTGGGCCTCATTTTTGTGAATCATTGGTCTTGGGCAGCATTTCTCAACATTATGAAATGCACATCTTTGCCAAAGAAGCCAAATTTAAATACATTATAGGTGGTTGGAACCAGAATCAAACAAAAACCTTTAAAATATGGTCCCTTGTGAACTTCACTTATGTTCTTCTGTAATCTTTTTTTTTTCATGATATCAACTTGCATGATTTATTGATTCAAAACTACCCAACGATTAATTTCTTCAAACATATTATTGAGAAGATATGATTGGGGGCCCTGGTTTCAGCCCACCATAATTACGGCACTTGTTCAATCGGTTTCTTTTGTTCACCAAAGCTGACTCTCATGCACCTCGAAAGCAGTGATGATTACTAAATTTGGAATTGGAATTGAATTTTAATCAATACGCACTAGATAACTGTTTTCTGTTCACATAAGTACTAACCTTTTAAGACATACGTAAAGGTCAGTGCGTAGTCTTTGTTCCACTTTGAAATTAATCAGCTTAGTGGTTGGAGAAGGGGTTCGACGGAATTACCTCGATACTACTAATTAATTGTTCACCATATAAGGGAGCGATTAAAAGACTGACTGTCATTTTGCTGCTCTGAAAGGGGGTAGGAATATCATGGCAAAATTAATACAGTAGTAGCTTGATATAATGGAGCTTTATTTTTCATTTCACTACGTTACATCGAAACAATATGAAAATAAAAAAAAAAATATAGCAAAACAACATATTAAACACCGTCTTATAACATTTCAAATAACCAGTTTCGAAGCAATAATGTTTAAGTTTTGAACACAGACTTCAGAAAAGCATTTGACCGCATTGACATACGGCCCTTTTCAGGGCCACCAAGTTCATTTAAGAAAAGAGTTAGAGTAGAATTGTTGAAGAACTACAAAAATAGTTTCCACCAATTAAGTCAAGCCTTGTTTTCTCATTGATGTCGCTGTTCCATTGATACTAAGTTAGAAATTTGGAAAAGTAGATGGAACGTTTTGGATGCATATTATGGTCAAAATAAGTCAAAATAAATCATTCATTATCGTTCAGCTTTTTCCTAGAAATTTTTGATAAATAGTATTTTCTTGCAGGCTTTGCAGCAATTTGAGATTTTTTTTATATAATTTTGATTTTTTTTGTATATAATAAAATAATTATTTACAGTGTATATGTTTGCTTGAAAGGCACAATACTTGCCCGCAACTTCGCCGAAGACACATTCCGTCTCGCACGCTGAGCCGGTCAAGTCGCATCGGTCTCGTTGTACGACACTAGTATTTGAGTTTTTGAGTTTTTCCCCACGCGAGGGTTTTTTCTCGCTAAAGTTAGTTGGCATAGTGTTAAGACAACTAGTGCGCCGAGCGCTTTGATTACGGACCAGTTTTATCTCATCATCATCGCATCATCACATCATCCCATTGATAGCAACAACGAAAGCACGTTAAATTGCCTACCGAGGCGACCGAGGCATACCAGCTACAAGGTTATCGACCCAACAGCCGTTGGGGCGAACAATAGCATCGCACCAGTCATCTGCCGCCTCAGTGCAATAGGTATAACGTATCGCTTTGTTGTCACCAGTATCGCATCTCCCCGCATGGTCCAATATTAGATTAGGTTGATTCATAATTAGGGTGATCCAAAATTTTGTAAATAGTATATTTCTATAATTTTTTTTTTCTTGATTTTTTTTTTTCTCGTATTATTTATGAGTTTAGTTAGGGTGATCTATTTTTTTTTAGTATATGTATATATTTTTTTCCTTTTTCTTGTTTTTTTTTCTTTTTTTCGTATTACTGTTTAGTAAAGTAACACAACATCATTTTTTTTTTGTTTTTTTTAGCATTTTTTTCTATTTTTGATATTATTTGAAATTACTGTAATTATTTGTAAAATATTTATCAAAAACGCCATTGCAGCGATATTTAACCGCAATGGATGAAAATGATAAAGGC